GATATTTCCTGAAGAAACACGCTTGTTGGCATTCCAGGCGGGGCTGTCAGGGCTGGTGTCACCTGCTGACGATGAGCTGCGTTGCTGTGGCTGATGTCATGGGAGGTAATGACAGGGGTGTTTGCTGGCTGAGTGACAGAAGGTGGGAAGGCTCCTCACAAGCAGAGGCAGAGGTGGGGTAAGGGACCCTGCAGCTGGGGAACAGCGGGTGCTGAGGGATGGGGGAGCTCCCTGGTGTCCAGGGGGTTGGGAGCAGCAACCCCCTTCCAGCAAAGGTCTGGCTAGTGATGGAGTCGTTCAGCACGTGGGAGTTGGATGCTCCTTCCCCACTTGTTTTTTCTGAAAAATTGTTGTGTGTAAAAATGTGTGGATTTGGCTGCCCTCAGCCCCCCTCCCCTGCAAGCAGAAGCCTGTGAGAGCCCAAGGAGGTGTTGGTGCTGGAAGTACCATCAGGAACACCAGCCTGGAAAATACTCTGAGGAGCTCAAGTTTGAGGTGCTCATAAAACCAAGAAAGACTGTGGTACTGGTCCTTCGCTGTGGCAGAGGAGGCCACCCACACCCTCCTTATCCCACTTGGAGTAGGTGGCTCCTCGCTATGACTGCTGCCATCCCCAGCTTGGGGTGTCCCAGGCTTTTGCCAAGTGTAATCCAACTCAGACCAACCTGCTGAAACGCTGCTCCTGCTCCCAACAGCTGCTGTAAATCCAGGGCTGATGCTCCTACTCTTTTGTAGGATGAAGTCATCCCTGCCTGGCCATACTGGAAGGTCTAGTCATCCATCTGCTCTGTCCCAAGGCATGAGTCAAGGGAGGGCACGTGTCCATGAGACTGTGTGAGAGGGTTGTCCGTGCCCACGGCTCGGACACTCTCAGTGCCCACCACAGTGTTTGGGTGGGGTGACAGGGTTACCTCAGCCTGCACTGAGGTGTTTCTACACCTGCTAAGGAGTGTGATGGAGAAATTTCAGATCCCTTCCCAGTTCCATCTCCACCTGCCTGGGAGGAAGTTGGCTGCAGATTTAGGGCTTGTGAAGCCCCTGATTTGTGCAGCAGCCAGACGTGGCCGGGTGGGTCTGACGGACAACCCTGAGTGCAGAGCACTGCTTGTGGCTTTTCTCCTGTTGGATCTTGCCTTAATAGAATAAACCTCGATGCCTACAGTTCATGCTTACAGGGGTGGTGAGGTCTTGCAGGAGGTACAGCTGTGATTTGTTGTGCTGTTATAGTCCCCGCTTCCTAGTGTGGCCAGTAGGACCAGGTAACTTCTCTTCCCCCTGCACTGGGCACTGGTGAGGCTGCAGCTCGAGTGCTGGGTTCAGTGTTGGGCCCCTGAGTCCAAGAAGGACATGGAGGTGCTGGAGCGTGTCCAGAGAAGGGCAACGGAGCTGGGGAAGGGTCTGGAGCACAAGTGTGCTGAGTTCCCTTGTGGCTGAGGGAACTGGGGGTGTTGAGCCTGGAGAAAAGGAGGCTGAGGGGAGACCTTGTGTCTCTCTCCAAGTCCCTTGGAGGAGGGTGGAGAGAGGTGGGGGTGGGTCTGTTCAAGCAAGGACCAAGGGACAGGACAAGAGGAAATGGGCTCCAGTTGTGGCCAGGGCAGTTGAGATGGGATGTGAGGACGAATTTCTTTGCTGCAAGGGTTCTGAGGCATTGGAAGGGGTTGCCCAGGGCAGTGGTGGAGTCCCTATCCCTGGAGGGATTTCAGAGTGGTGTAGACATAGTGCTGAGGGACATGGGTCAGTCAGGGACTTGTCAGTGTTGGGTTCATGATGGGACTCGATGATCTTAGTGCTGGAAGTGAGAGGTGGCTCCTCTCACAGCTGCTCTGCTGCTGTTCAGATCCTTTGGCCTCAGCTCTCTGCTTTTGCTGACCTATTTTAGTCTACTCTGCCTGGCACGTGCCTGAAGAAGTTGGGAGCTGGAGCAACTGCTTTTCCTGGGGGTTTTTCTCTCACTGTAGGGCCATGAGCCACTGTCTCTGCTGGGCAAGCAGAGCAGGTGGTAGAATTTGCTTAACCCCATGCTGGAGACCACAAATGGGTAGGTGTGCTTGGGGTCTGCTTTGCTGGTAAAAACCAAGCAAACCATTTGCCTTCCAAGGCTAAAACCATACCTGGGTACAGCTCATCCCACTAGCAGATCCACAGCACCATGGGGAGAAAAGAGCTGTGATTGCCTCCTAATAAATGGCCAAGACAAACCTCATAGACAGAAGCAGGAGCTGCCTCCCCTGAGGAGCACTGACGTGGGCTCCTGGGAACCGCTGTGTCAAGCCATTTGGGTTGTCCAGGGAGGTTATGGATGCCCCCTATGGAAGTGTTGAAGGCCAGGTTGGATGAGGCTTTGAGCAACCTGGTCTAGTGGAAGGTGTCCCTGCTGATGGCAGGGGGGTTGGAGCTGGGTGGTCTTTAAGATTTGTTATGAGAAGAATGTTGATCAGGTACAAGGACATGGTGTTTGGGGAGTTT